TTCGCATTCTTTGGAGGGAGGGTTCGTGTGACTACGAAAGCATACGAAATTGTAATTTCAGTAATGCAATTTAGCGGATTATATTTCTATATCTTATTCGTAAAAGGTGATCAAAACATAATCAGTAGACTAGTGTGTAGAATAATGTATTGAACTGATTTTGATAATCTCATCAGTTATGTGCATATTCCGATCAAACGACGTTGTGGAGCAATCCATTGTACGTGAATTGTTTCAGTTACTTAAGGCTGGTTTACTGATGGTAACATATTTGCTTAACTCATACACTGTGGTTTGCTGCTGCCTTGTGTTCACAGTCGTCCTAAAATTCGCAATAAAGGTATTACGACAGTTACTATCGGACGTTACAAAAGTGACCTACTTAAACAGATCGATTTCGTGACCAGCCTTATGCTCCCACGATAAGAATGAGATTTCCCTCTCTAGTGATCACGCTCCCCGCCCTCGTGCCCAATCTGGCTCAGGTTTTCGTGACCTTTGCTCTCCGTATTGATTTCTCTACAATGCGTGTGTTTTTTTGTTCATAAACCAGCCACACTTTCAATATAAAGTGAACTGATTGCATGTACACATTTGGTGAGATTACCAGGAAGTAGGTGGATCATGATGCTCCTTCTTCCTTTATTGAAGCACCGTGGAGAGGTGTTTGCAAAGGCTTTGTATCACTAATCAATGGTTACCATTGATGACTCAGCCTTTTAAATATCTCATTAGGAAAGCATTTCGGCTATTTGAGTTCACTATAAAGGATCAATCCATGCTGTGAGTATTTTATAATATCTAACAGAAAAAAGAATTGAACTTCTTCCGTTTCACCGCTTGAAGGTGTCAAGATACCATCCTAGTACCATTATTGTATGCAAGTTCACATATGAATCAAATCGCACTTGTATTTTCAATATTCTTCAACTGACATAAGAATAATTACGCGGTGACATCTTTGTAAAAGGCATTGAACAAATAACTAAGAAGTATTTTGAAAATATCCACACCTATGATTGACTATCCTGTTTCAGCGTAGACAAATCTATGACAGCTGTTGTCGGATTATCACATTAGGTATCTGCTATTTCCCTTTCAAATTGACGCGCAGACTTGTGAAAGAACTTGTGAAGTAACTTGATTTATTTTTCCCATCAGTGTTTGTAGTTAGATTAACAGCAGTTTTCGTGTTTTCCACCCAAATAATGCGTCTTCATTCTACACTTCATTCTTATTCGAGTAGAAATCTCAATTCACTCAATGCAGGACTAGGGTAAAGTAACACGGTTTATTATCAAGCTGTGACATTTTACCAACTTATTAGATCATGTGAGTAATGGAGGATTTGGTTAAATTTCAAATGGGAATTCGTCGTATATATAGCAAATGAAGCGTGAACTGAAAAGCTCGGAAGCACTGGACAGCTGTTTCGACCTGGCTGGGTCTCATCAGCAGTGCGAATCCATCGACCCGACTGGGGATCGAACCCGTGACTTCATGGGCAGAACGCAAGCGTGCTACCCACTACGCCACCGAGCAGCTGATCAGACCGTTTTTTCATTTTCCATTTACACGTCGAAACAGTTGTCCAGTGCTTCCGAGCTTTTCAGTTCACGCTTCATTTGCTATATACACGACGAATTCCCGTTTGAAATTTATTAGATCAGTTTGCAATATCATCTCCCTCCAGGCTGGCTTTGTTAATCAGAACACGACAGCCGTGCTGAACAACAAAAGATGAGTGTCACGATGCGTTTGAAATCGACCCAGTTATGTTGAAAACCTCTAACCGCTCTACAATAATCAATACAAGGAAGGGACTGAAAACAAAATCAACAACAACGAATCCCCCTTCAAAGAAGCATAGCATAATGACATCTTAATTTTCATTGCGATTTATGAATTTTGTTTATTGACTCATGTACACAGCGTCGAAGAACATACCACAAGTACTCTGAACTGGAGTAAAAACAACATAGGGAAAATGTCATGGGTGGCTTGGATTTTCGACAGATCATGTTTTCGGTATGGAGACATTGGCTATTAATCAAACACATCTTTAGAGTTATTCTGGTACGTTTCATTGTGTTGTAAGTTTCACCCGGCCACATTTCGCACTGTTTTTCCGGGAGTGACAATGATTTATGTCAGCAAACAGCATATCCTCGTTTTTACATTGGTGACGAGTCGAGAAATATCAATGTGGTTTAGAAGAGAATATGTAATATGCGGCAAAAGTGTAACAGAAATCCACCCAATGGACTGTGGATTCTTGGGGACATAGATATAGGCGTGTTTTTCGAATTCATTTAGCTTATTGGGGTCATGTTTTGGGTTTGCGTTGCATTGCAATTTAAATTGTTTTTACTCTCAATCATGGACCGCGTATTGGAATTTCATAATCTTAAGACAAACCGCGTGTCTTTTTTACTTTTCGAAACTTCACTCCACGCTCACTGCTCAACGTATGTGTATTTCCAGGGTTATCTTTTTTCTGAAGATACCTTCAAAAGTCCATGGGAATAAGGAAGAACTGAACGAGAAGAGTTTTCCTAGTAATATTTAGTCAGATGCTTTTTCACGATTGTTTGACATACTTCTTATGGATATTGTAGGCCGGATGAGAATTTTATCTTTAACATTAGTTACGGACAAAATAAAATAAACATTGATATTCTATCTTCAATATATGTAGTTGACGCTTCGAGTATTTCTTGTCAGATCACGCACCAAAGTGATTATGCAGTCAAAGATTTTATCATTCAAATGAATGAATATAGATAATAACAAAAGTGATGTCTTTCATCATCGACTATCCGTTTCAGGTTCCACGGGAAGCACAGCTTCAATGAACAGAACTGTTCGCCCTGCACCTCCACCTCCGCCTTTGCCGCCTTTGCATGCCAAATCATTCAGTTCAACCATGGCCGTACCGCATGTAAGTCAACGGTTCTGAACAAGTGATATCGCAGCACACGTGATCTGGTGATGTGAGTGTTCGTATCCGGCTTCGGAATAAAAAAACCACAAATATTTATGATAATAGGTTTTTGATTTTCAATGAATATGCTGCAGGATGCTGTCTCTGAACAGGGCGAGCTTTACGTGAATGTGAATAGTGGCTGTTTCAACCTGCGAAAGAACAGAATGTAAACGATGAGCGATGAAATACGTGCATATTGATTTCAGTCCCAATCAACATGTTGCGATTAAAATACGCTAACATTTTCGGGCCAGAAAAATAGAAACCTTTTGACCAGATCGTTGTTGGTCGAAACGGCGGGTAAACTTTAATGAGCAATAACAAACTTGAACAAAAGCGCAATTGTCGGATTACCCATACATAGTACTCTTTATTGAATACCCGTGTGCGATTACGAGTGATAGAAAAAGTCATTTTTAATCAGATGGTTCTGTACATAGAAAGTCATTTGTGTGTAATGCTCTGGGGCCAGTACTTGCTCGTTTAGTGCCGTTCTTTGTTACAGTACTGAAGAAACGAAGCTAACAGGCTCTTTCGTACAAATAGCCCTCTTACCAGTTCTCGGTTGATGTACGTATTACGCTAATGCGATTTTAAAAGCAGAAACGTTAACTTCTGGTTCATTTTAGTTTAGTATCTCAATCACGAGAGAACTCGTTTTTTAACTGAAACTATGAAATTTCTGATTGATAAAGCTTATTACACCAAAGTTAACTGTATGGGATAGGAATTAGTTTCCTGAACAATGAACGTGTTATTTATTTTCGTTTTCACAAAACATGCAGCATTTCACTGGGTGTTGTATATGTTTTTAAACCTGTGTTTCAGCTACCTTTGTTCGCAAATCGTATCAAAGGATCTGGACTAAAAACAAAGTGTAATATCATTTTTATATTCTTTTATGTACTACACGAAAAAGGAATCAATCGTGCGTGTAACTGTTGAATACATTAAGTGAATGTGTCGTGCACTTTTAAGGATTCGATGTTAGCTGAACTCAGGGTTTCCGTTTTTTCATTGAGTCTTTGTTTGTGATGGTGAGTTATGCACTCTTTGACAAATCCCCTATTGATATGAGGGCCTTCCAGAGTAGAATTAACTCTATGACTTTCTCATTCATCCATGGAGCATTTGCGCTGCTCTGCCGCTGTGTGGCGTGAATGCATTTCCTGCTCACAAATACGGATTATTTCAAACGCTCTTTATATGTTCACATATTCATGTTTCAGTTTTGAATAGGCAAATATAATATGATTCTGTGTTAGAGAACAGTTTGTGGATTTCATCGATTGCAAAAATGCAGTTCAATACAACTTGGGTTTACGTTCAACCCGATTGCACGATATTGATTTGCTGTTACGGTACGCACACACGTTCGAAAAGTCGTGTAGCAGAGTGAACTTGAAGTCCCCAATACTTGTCAAAATAATCTATCTTGTGTTTTGGCGATAGTGCTGATGGTGAAATAATATAGGAGCATGGATAGACTCTTGATATTCAATAACCCGCGTCTTAAACTGGTAGCGGTCAAACGAATTGTGTAACCGATGGTTTAGCAACAGTCAAGGATTTCTTAGAGCACTTTTACAAATTTAATATTATAATTATTATAATCGATTTTGCCACCTTTCTGACGATTTATAAGTATATCCTTGGGGGCAGTTGTTAAGCGAATTAAATTCACAATAACATTATGAAAAAGCTTTACCTGAAAATTTTAAAGCTAATTAAACGAATAATAAATTATTAAATTGCGATTTTAATTGTTAATAGATATGAAGGAAAATATGCAGAGTTATATTTCTAAATAAATAATATCATTGGACTTCCTTTTGAATTTATTAGGGTATTCAGTAGTTCTGCTAACTTTCACTGAGTGCTTTCGGACATCCGACTCGCTACATGAAATAGAGTCAAACACCAGAACGGTTCATGCATAAAAGCAATTATTCCTGAGATATTCTTAGAATACCCAACGTTCGTTTAAAAAGAATTACAATAACACCATTGGGCGCTTTTTGTTTCCCTGGGATTATAGTAGGCGCAAGTGTTTTGCACGCAATACTTGAGTAAATCAGCATGCCTTCGCCGTCCTCACCATACGTACTAAGCAATCACGCTTTTTCGCTACCTGTTCAATATAATCAATTTTTACAGTATCCCGTCTCGTCTGAGCCAACAACATCTTCTATGGAGGGATACAATTCACTCCATCCGGGTGGTTTGCTGGCACATGTGGCTGACACAATGTGCCCAAACAGGTATGTGTTTCTGTCCAACATTCACTGTTACAATTTAGCTACTCATTAGTAGTTTGTCATAATTGATTTTGTTCCCATTTGATTAGTGATTAATTCAGTCGATCGATTTACTTCTATAGACAATTTCCAATGACAGATATGCGGTTTCCTTATTTGGTTTACAATCTTAAATATAATATCACAAGCCTTGATTGATAATTTCAAGTTTCTTGGATCACACTTTGTCACTGTGAAAATTGGGCACTAAATTATTTTTTTCGGAGAAATATTATCTCGAAATCTTTGAACCCATTTTAATAAATATAGGTTATCATGAGGAACTGATCTACCAATGAACGTTACTCCGTTGCGGTTAACAACGACTTTTTAACGTTCGGAATGCATTTATTTGTTACCGACGCCCTAATTTTAACTAACTCCACTTGCATGATGTTCGTGTTTTGTGCTATAATTGGGACAGGAAGTCCTCCTTACTCATAGGTGTTGATTCAATTTCGATTGAAAGTACTGTAACAGTGGCCCAGCAAGTAATAATTTATAGTTAGGGCAATAGTTAAAGCAATATCATTTCTTATGTACCAAACAGAGAAAACCGATTTTGAGGCACGTGATTCAGTGGATTGGGTGCTATTAAGCACAATTTGTTGAAACTTGTCATCAGTACATGCTGATTCTCAATGAAGCAACCGAAATGTTCACATGGGGCATACTACATGGTTGGTTACCAGACAAGTGACCAGGGAGGTGGATATTATGTAGAGAGGATGTGGTGCAATCTGTATTCCTTATCTTATCTTGATTTTAATTTTCCATTGATTGCGTTGTACTAACAGGATGAAACAAAACTGAAACCATCACACAATTATTTCTGATTCGTCGTGTAGGTTCACTTCATTTTTATCTTTGCTTCATTGCTCTTGAATACAAGAGACTGCATGTTGCGCTTGTTTCTCAAATACTGATTCGAACTGGCCAATCTAATCACCATTTTCTCCTCGTTCGCTCGTGAGATCCAGTCACATGCTATATGTTACCAGGTAACTCTGAAAGTCTGTCGAATCCCTTTTTATCAAGAACCACATAATTTATGAATATCTCAGTTTTCCTACTTCCTATAGCCTTTCTACAAACAAGCGCAATATCAAAATGCTATTTTTTAGCTGACCGTTCACCTGTTTATTGTCATAGAGTTCACTCATTTAGTTTTAATCAACCTTGTTGTATAATAAAAGCAAAATACTAGAGGTAGAGTTGAACTGGCCACATCCCCGTTGTTGAACCGCCTTTCGATTGAGTTGATCAACAGTGATCGCGCAAAGCTGCATTCCTCCAGTCGAAAGTTAATTCAGCGTCGTTTTCCGCTTAATTTTCTTCATAAAGTTTATTTGCTTCCATAAATCCATCTATTTTTTCGCTTTTCGCTTCTGACCTTGTGCAAACCAGTCTAGCTGGACACTCTTGCGCGCAACACCCTTCCATTGTGACACAAGTGAGTTCACAACAATTAACACATGTCAAAGTTCCTTTGTATTGGACAATAATTATATATTCAAACACTAGCGGCTTGTACTCGTTCTTCAGTCTGTTTTTCACTCAAAGTTGGGTTGCTGAGAGGGTTGGTTAAATCAAATGAATATTACTCCTTTCTTGCGTGACGTGAGGTTTCTTGTACGTTGAAACGTTTAATCCAAATCGAGGTATTGTTGAATCGTTTAGCTTTCTCCTCACGTATTGCTCTAGGTTCCTCGTACTTACAAATGTATAATACAAAACGAAAAGAAATTAATACGAGATGCGTGTATTTCTATCTCCCCAAGCGTTTTCCAACGTGAACCATATGAGTTTCTTTACAATGCATTAAAATATTTAAAACGCATAACCCTTTACCAAGTTAGTTTTTTTCAATTTTTTCAGACTTTTTCGTATTTCATATTGTCTGCAAATTCGATTTCAGTTAGCAGCCTCCCAGAATGGTCAAACAATCAGTTTGATATTTTTTTGATTTTGCAATCAATATTTTACCCAAATTTTCTCGGCTTGTTAGATGTCAAGTGAAACAGCAAAGATAAACGATACTTATGAGCTCAGGCTCATAATTGTCTCTATTATCTTTAAACTAGGTGCAAATGGGAATTTTCACTAATTAAAGATTCGGTTGATTTTGGGTTCCGATTGTGGTCCGTTGCCTAGTGCGAAGGAATTCCGCAAATCAATTACTGTGGACAAGATTCATTACTGGAGGCGACCAGACTTGCCAATTTAAGCTTCTCCAGACCTCTCAGTGATAGAGTTTCGAATGGATCTGACAAATATATGGTCAACCATGTCGCCTTTCGTGGTTGTTGTCGTTTTCATTGGGTCACGTGGAGAGATGAAGTATCACATAAAGAGATATCTGAGGCAGCTTATTTTGATGAGCTTTTTGGAGCAGTCTTCGTCCGTGTGAGAATTACGGAGTTCAGATCCCGAAACGAGCACTAAATCCGCACCACTGATAAACTCTGACAAAATTGAAACTCCAGTTTGGAGCTTATTGGACGCACACTTGGCTTGTAGATGATCCAAAGAATTTATGTGAAGATTACATTTGTATACTATTTATTCCGAACCAAAAGTCATGCTTAGATGAAAGAGAAACTTAAACCAAACTAGGTTTGTTGCAAAAGTACTATCAGTTGAGTTTTGACTATGTGCACAACTTTTCAGCTGATTCGCACAACACGTTTCCAACATAATTTCGTTTACTGGTGAGTATATTGTGTACTATACTGATTCACCAAAAATAAATAACCTGAGAACAATTTACACATGGATCAGACAATATTGAGAATGAGGGGCACACCAAAAGCAGTAGTACCCAAATGGTCCGTCAATGCAAAAGGCTGTTCTTAAAACCCTTGTAAACCTACATACCGTCTTTTAAAAATGTTGTAGCTCCTGGATTCCCAAAAATAGCATTCATAAATTGTTGCTATTCCGAAAGTGTCTTTATTTTTTTGTCTATTGAGTGGATTATTGTCCGTACCTCTGACTTCCTTGACGACATTCGTAGGCGTTTCGGGTATTTATATATAGTCCAAACAGAATTAGCATCTTATTTTCGCAAACAAATCTCAGCAGTAGGCTCACATGTCCAGTGACCTCCCCACTTGTTGCATATAAGGCGTAACTGTATTGGTGAGGATCATTGATCTTTATAGAAATGTCATTTGATCAAAGGTGATCCACTATTCTGACCTCGCAATCACACACGCATCGCTCATCACCTTCCCCCAAGAACGGCTATCAGAATACAGGCGGTGCCATCTGTTACTCGAGCTGTCAAACAGAGTTAGAGTATGACAACTGTTCCAATCGATAGCTCATGCGCTCCTATCTCTCTCTCTCTCTCAATCTGCCTCACGCGTGAAGCGCGGTGCGTGGGCGGATTATTTGCCTCTAACTGTTCAGACCTGTTTCCCATTTGCTGGAGCCTTAACCTGATTTCCAGCGCTGGATCAATCAATACAATCAAGAATAAATTGAAGAGGATAAATTAATTGTTAGTTTACCAGCTAAAAGTCAAAATACACCGGTTCTTTCGTTCCCATTTCCACACGAACCAGAAAGATTAATTTGCCTACGCGTTACATGAATTTCTGTAAACACAAGGAAGTGCTCCTCCCTTCAATTCACCTAAACAACGGTACGTTCTCATGTTTTCCGAGCTTTTGGTCGATTGATAGACCCCTGTTCTGCTAGAATCACGACACTTGGCCATAAGCCACATCAATGAACCTCATTCAAATCTATTCAATGCCAGTAATTCGTATCAATAGTAATAAGTATTAGTGAGTCACCAAACTCATCTAGTTAAAGGGATACAGTGCAGGTCAATCAAGTGGCACTTCTTAAGGACCAAAACGTTGGGAACCTGAAAAGAGGAGGATTTTCGGGACCACTACATTTTAGAGGTGCTACGTTTAAAAGTATAAACATTGTATAAACGTTTATGTAATTGGTTTGGGTTTTTGGAACGGTGAGAAAATTTCTAATGGTCTCAACCTTTTGAAAGTGTTAAATTTGACAGACTTGAGCATAATATCTCGTGTACATCGCACATTGAATCAGTTTGTATTGTCCGCATTCTGAATAAACTTCGTTGGAGTTTTTCGCAATAAAAGTACAAGGCAAACACCTGGTTCCAACCGTACTAAGTTGTCGAGAGGAGGTAAAATCGATTCAGCATTGCTTTTTTGTCATTTATAATTTCAGCATGAAACAAAAGTGTGTTTTCATCTTGTATGGACAAATTTAGGGAGCATCACCAGAATACCTTCCTTGCCGCTAACCAATTGTTTTGTATTTCAGGTAGTTTGATCTGATATATTTACACGTTTGACAGTGAACAAATACTTTCATATGCATTGTGAACATTTAGATTCATGCTGTGTTCACAAATATGGTCCACAACTTGGTTGTCGTGATTGCTCATTCCGAAGCTTTGCGATTCATTTCTTCCTGTGAATGTAGGGTGTGAGCCTGTGTTGCTCTAGGCACCAAAGACTGATAATAGGTTTCTACAAAAAGCCACAGCCGATTGTATTCTCTAGTCAAGCATCATGCGGCATAAATGTCCACACCTATTTGCCGGTAATTTTTATCGGTCGCTTTTCAATGAACCACGAAAAATTCCCCTGGCCACCTATTTTTCAGGTTTAAGATTATATATATTTTTCTAACGTGATGCCGCTACTGCCGTTGTGTGTGCGTGTGTGTGTGCGACTTTTTGAATGAGAAACCCCGTGAGAATATCTTTCAATCATCCTAAATTTGCTAAGTCTCCGTACAAGTTTCCTTGATGGATATTTATTCACAATGTTTTGTGCAAATTCACAAACCAGCATCTGAATTAGATTGAACCGTAGAACTCTTTGTTTTCGTAAGAATCCTACACAGTTGAAGATAATTGCGATGCAAGTTATTTCATTTAGCCGATTGCATGTTTATTATTCCCTCGATAAGACTAATTAATTATGATTCAGCCCCACTTTATGACTACAATTAAACCATGTCCTGTTTCTTTATCAAATTTTGAGTTAATTTTATCCACGAGCTCATTTTGGTTTCGTGCTCATTGTATTTAATAATGTTTATTTAATAAAATATTACGATCAACTTGCCACATTTGTTTTGCGAATATTTGCAATTCGAGTGTTACAGTAGAATACTATTCGTGAATGTCTAATCACAACAAGGCTGTTTGTATCACCAACCGTAAGCTATCAATTATCCACCTACCGTTGTGCACCTTCCATGATTTCATCCAATCAATTTCAAATTTACTTTTACGTTCATTTTCAGCCCAATCTCTCAGATTTTCGATATTCACCTAATNGGAGGGTAGCCTCACAAACGGTACAGGGACATCTGACCAGTCGCCTGAATACTCCATTCCACCTCTTGTGCCACCTCCACTACAGCTGCGTTACCCTCCTGGATCTCTGTTGCCAAATCTTCCTTATGGTTCTTGCAGTGCTCCTGATATCTCCTCCGATTTGCCTTATGCGATGGACAGTTCAGCATTATCCACGGTTCCTGAAGAAGAACAGGACACTTTTGGTTCGACTTCTGGGCAAAGTAGTCCACCTCAAAGCATGTCCACTGTGCAAACTAGGATTCCGGCTGATTCAAATGCTCATTCAGATCGTACTAGTCGTAGTAGTGACGTTACCACTCCAACCTTATCCTCCACTTTTTCAAACTCCTTGCAACGACTATCTCATTCAGAGTAGGTGTCTCAAACTAGTTTAATTTTTTTGCACACAGTATGAATACCCATACATACATGCTTCGTGATTTATTGTTAGATTTGTACATGTCACGCAAATAGGTAACTGAAGAAGCAGATCTTTTCTAAGAATCGCACGCATTTTGAACTTTTGAATCGTAAACTTAAGTTAGTTGTATACAACCCTCGTTGACCACGTTCATCAGCTTTATCGCACAGGATTTAGCATTTTATTCTCAACACGCCGTGATTTTTGTTCCAAATTTAATATCATATTTGTGAAACCTTGAGAGTCGTTAGCTATAGCATTTCTCCTGCTGTGTCAGGAGTTCAAAAAGTAAGTTCCAAGAACTGCGACATAGCAGGTTTATCAGTAGTAAATACTAGTCAGTAGTATGAAACATTGGCTGGAACTTGTGTGACAAAATATACCAGATCGATGAAGATGACGTAAATGCTGTTACTTGTTTCCAATTTTTATACTTGAGTACGGTATATTTTCAATGGCATTTAAATATAGCGTCGTGCATATCTTTTTGTATTGAAGACACTCATTTTTTATGATGTCTTCAGCATAGCATTAGAAAATTGCATCCGACATTCAGTCCTCTTCCGGTTTCAAGTGTTCTCCCGAAAAGACCACCTTTATTCAGGAGAATTTTTATAATCAAAGTACTGCATATTAATTCCAGATATTTCCCCATTCCTTTGCAAGCTTAGGTTAACCATATAATCTATGATATGTCGTTCACCACAATGTAAAACCTTTTTGGCTATAATGCATAATCACATCATTACTAACCTATTCGATGGAAACAGGAATGAACTATGTCGAACAAAGCAAGAACAAGGGACAAAAGATCATGCCATCTGAAATAAGTGAAATATTTGTTTCGGGGTATACACAGTACATTGACTTCTTTCCATATTTCAAACAGTCTTTGCAGCGCAATCTATTCCTGACTTTCCGGCAATACGTGCGTCATTGACGTCTCTATTCATTCGTCCACTTTTATTGTTGCCAGTGTATGTTCAAACCGATTGATACATTCGTTATGGCTAGTGTCGGTAAACATAAGTGATGAATAAAGTTCAACTCGTGATGCCGTAACATAATTCATAAATTAGAAGTGCATCGCTCAAAGAGTCAGGGGCGTGGGCTACAATGACCTTTGGCCAGTGACCTGTCTGATTTCATCGGTGTTCAGGCAAGGATCAGTGCAACTTATCGCTTATTCATTGTCAGGTGCGTACGCGCGACGATGGTTATTGATAGCTTGGATCTAACATCTCACTTTACACACGGGCTTACCAGTCTATCACGTTTATCGCTCACCCGTTTGCACGTTAGTGCGACAGAGCCCATCGCTAGACCGAATGGCCATGACTTCGGTGACCACTGTCGAAAAAATGAACACATTCGAGGGCAGCACAGAACTGCAGAAAAAACCTTTGCAGATAAGAAAGATAAATTTCTAGCAAAATCATGAATGGTCGTCTGTTTCAGGTCGGCTCTCCTTAGGAACTGAACAAACACGCTGTTTAAATCAATTGTGCACTTCAGTAATCCACCCAAAATCAAGGCAAACAGTTTCAACTGATCCAGTGACTTTTGCTTTTTTAATTAAGATAACTTACGGCTTTCCATTCATCTTCTGTGCGACGCTTACCTTGATTCGAATCGATTTCATCTAATGAGTCAAAAAGAGACTTGATACAAAAATGTTAAACACAGCTAGTAATGTCTTCAGTCAGATCTCATTTTTACTCTGGTGGCTGCATCATCGTCTGATTCATTGTGGGTTTGAACCCAGCGGTTATGAAAGCGTTGATCAGTACGTGCGTATACACAGACACCCAAGCTTTCCTGACCAGTTGCATGCCCATGAGGATGTCCACTTCGGATTTCATGCTGAGTTGCTCATCTTCAATCAAAGACAAAGGTCAAATTACACCCGCATCCACTGTTTCTGACCTTGAAGAACAGTTCGGAGGCAGTCGTACTAATGTGAGATTGGATAATATTGTGGGCTTTGTTATAGCAAGGTGTATAATCTGTAAATAGCAAAATAGAGCGTTTTTGAAAAACTGTCTTTCGGTTGACATCTTACAGCCAACTGTGAAATAACGCAGAAGTCATCCATGATTTCTTTGAAGAATCATGACTACGGGGAAGGCTTTTTCTTTCTATACCTCGGAGACCTCGTGGAGTTTGAAATTTTCAATAGCCAACGGCGATAATTTTTCTCCAGTCATGCTCCCACGAAGCGGTAACGTGACTTTTTCTTTGTATTTCTTGAATCCAGGATCTGTTTTTTTTCTGGGATCAACCGCGGTAATCCTACTCGAAACTTGCCCACCGCATCACGTGGTACCGCCAATCTTTCCTCACAAACCTCTTAAGTGATGCACATCGGTAGCTGCTTGTCTCTTTGTAGGATTGAATATCACATCTGTGTGACCAAAAGTGAAGTCGACCTTTGGAAGCCTTGGATTCACGATGATGCGTTCTATGTGCTAGCTTGATTGTCTTCTTACAAACGATGTTCTCCGCCATGAGAAATTCACCGTGCTTTTCCTTTATAGCAGTAAACTAAGCCATAGTCTGTCTTGAATTTTCTGTTGGTTTTCAGGTGGCATTTTTTCCTGAGCTGCTCCAAAGTTCACAAATTTTTTGAAAGTCGTTCGATGGGATATAACATTGGTAACAGTTTGTCTTGGAATGCTAAGTGATTTCTTTACGGAGCTTTGAGTTGCANTCGATTCATGCTTTCCAACACATTCTGCTTCTCTCTGATCGGTGGGCGCTTGCACACTGAACTTAAGTGTCACTGTCTTCGATTATTGGCATCTGTGTCTTCCTCGCAAGGATTACCCAATCAGTGAACAGTGTCATGTTCGCGTCATACTAGGTGAAACACCATTGGCTGAGTGCGACATTGCAAGTTGGCTGGTCAGCGACCGTCGCGAAAATGGGTCAACTATCAACTGAGTAGGTAACAGGAACTGCGATATATTGAGGGATGTGACATTGCATAGTACGAAACTAAGTTGTTAGGCATATTGTTGGTTTGGGTTATACAAAAAGTGGGAAGGTATTAGAAAATGCGACTTCTCAGGGGTGTGACATAGCAGGAGATTGACTGTATATGTATATATACTCTCACACGTTTTATCCAAGTACTCCTAATTTCTTGGCCTAGTGTGGATTGATACGCCTTGAAGGCATCAAACCGTGGAATCGGCAATGAGGTGTTAATTGTCCTCCTCCCTTTTTCGAACAATCTTATAGTCGATGAACAACCCAGCTGCCCTCCCAGAACAACAGTTTCACTTATAGTTTATGCAACTATTAACCATCCACTTTTTCGCCGTGTTTTTCGTTGCTGTCTCTTGCCGGGCTGTTTTCATTAATGAGTAAACGGAGGGCTGAAATGCTGATAACAATGCTAACCCGAAATTGGAAAATCCTGGTGGACTGTAAACTAAAATCGAGTGAGAGAATGCACGGGCGCCACTGCTTACCATACCCAGTCTTATCGCTCAATGTCTCTAACCTTCAGTTACACTGAACTTTGGTTCCCATCTGAGAAGCCCAACGGGATCTATTTGGCTAAGTCTGCCGGTCAGGGTCTTAACACCCGTATACCTGGTCTTTCTTTGACCACCCTTAACTTTTTTCACCTATTACCTGCTTCGGCAAACATAACGGGTCGTGGCAATGTATTTGATGACGTGCGTAACACACTCCAAACAGCTTTCTCTATCGAAGTTGAATG